GCTTGTCGATGGCCATCTTCTCCTTGTGTTTTCACATTACCTTCCCTCTGTATCCATTTGTGTCCAGGTCTCCTCTTCTTGTAAGAACACCAGTCATATCAGGTGAAGGTCCACTTTCATGACCTAATGTTGGCTTAATTGCCTTTGTAAAGACCCTATCTCCAAATCAGTTCACATTCTGAGGAACTGAAGATTTAGAACTTGAAGTTGAATTTTTGAGGGAGTACAATTTAGCCCATAGCAGAGAGACAGCCTCTTTCATGGAAATGATTTTTGAAGAAATGTATCTCATCACTCACCGTTTGTTCCAAAATGTTCTTACAGGTTTGTCATTTTCTTACAAACCACTAGAATATCATAAAAAATATATAAAATTACTACTTTTATAAGGCTAGATAATATTACTGGATTATCATCTTCAAAGCTGTTAAAAATATGCACCCTACTCCAGCATGGGTTTATTTTCTGATTCATTACTTTAGCTAACAAGCCTACACTCCTTAAAGGAGGACATCATGTGTCACTTACTTTGTACCTACAGGCCCTTAATATAGAACAGAAGCTCGAGCTTCTGCTGAATAGAATTTAATTGAAACCTACTTAAAGAGATTTGAAAATGTTAATCCTCACTTAAATTCCTGCTTTAATTCAGACTGAACAAATTAAATGTTACACTTGTAGCACTTGAACTTATGCATTTCATCAATACTTGGCACCACAATATGCTACTTCATTCATTAATGTTTTCCTGCATCTGTGTCTTCTCCCTAAATAGATAGAAAGGTCTTCGCTATAAGAACCCTTGCTGTGCCAATTCTCCCTGTTATCACCTTGTCATTTAGCAAAGTAACCTTTCATTGTATCTGTACCATTTTAAACAGATATGTAGAATGCTTTAACATTTCTTCACAATTCAACTGTTGAACAAATACATTTCTGTAAAACTAAAAAACTTGTCAAACAGAAAAGTTACCAAATTCTCCATCAGAGGTCTAGGAAATGATTACAATGAAGAACTCCTCTTTTTCAGAAGCCCAAGATCAAAACAGAGAGTAGAGGAAAAAGGGGTCCACACATTCCACGGGCGTCATGGAACTCTCACAGCCATCTGAGTAGTGACATGTGTAACAAATGCAAGGAATCATGGAAATGAGTCCTTATAGGAGTGCAGCAGTGTGATTATTAAGACAAGACAGTTATTGCTTACGAAGGGACTAGGAAAAGAGATAGCCAACATAGCTCTACAAATGAGATCATTGGAATAAATTTCATACGTAAGCTATTCTTCACAATCCATCTTTTGGTACATCAGATGTCACCATACAAATACCTATAGCCAACCAATTATTATCTTCAACAGATTATTCTCTCAAACATCTCAAAGACTCACATATAATCAGGATCCAATGTCCTACTATAATACAAAGTAACAAGTCATGGTATTTTTCCATACACTTTAGCTTCTTTGATATGAATACTTTTTTAAAAAATACAATAATCATTCCAATTATAAACATTCATTTGTTCTCCTGAAATAAAATTAAAGCAATTTGCATAATAGAAAATTCTTTTTCCATGATTTCAAAATATATTTAAAGTGAGGTCCTACCTAACACATGGAGGTTTAAAGACACATAAAACATTAACATGCTGGGGGGAAGATGCAGCTAATACATTAATGACATTTTACTTCTTTTTTCTTGATAATATAAACTTCTTGAGATTAATTTATAACAATTTTACCTGCTTTCATTTTTAAATCCATGATTGCAATTGAGGCATAAAAAACTAGTGTATTTTAGAAAGGAATTATCAATATTTAGCCCTATTTATTGGTGGAATCTTACTCCTTAACTTTCCATATTTTAAAAATTAAAATTAACTTGCTTTATTTAATGGCTTTAAGTTCTAATATTCTAAAAAGTTACTTACAAAATTTCACAACAAATCAAAGCTTGTTGTCTTGAAATTTAATATTGCAGTACTACAATTTGGGCATATTAAAATTCTCAGGAGGCTGAGGCAGGAGAATTGCCTGAACCCAGGAGGCAGAGGTTGCGGTGAACCGAGATTGCGCCACTGCACTCCAGCCTGGGTAACAAGGGCGAAACTCTGTCCCCCCACCAAAAAAAAAAAAAAAATTCTCTGCATTTAGTATAAACAGAAGAAATAAGGCATTTTTCTTCTATTAAAAAGCAGAGATTCTGAATTGCTGGACAAGAAATAATTATGCTATACAAGCAAAAATACAACACAAAATTAATTACTAGCTCTATGAAATCTTTACAAGTGAGGAAAACTTTTTCTTACAATAAAAAATTAAGATAGGACCAAGGGACAAGAACTGAATGGGCGTAGAGTAGAAAGGAAAGAGGAAGAGGAAAAAATAAACAAACAAACAAACTACTTTCAGTTTTCCCTTTCTCCAAAGCTAATTTTACTCTCTTGGTCCCTCATTTTAGAAAATGGAATTTGAAAGAGAGAAAGATAATAATCCATTAGGATTAATAGTATCCTCTGTCATAAACCACTGGAATTTGGGAAAACAGGAATGGGAATTTTATATTTAGTCTTGAGGATTTAAATGTTAAGACCTCAAATCAGGAAATGTTACATAATAGGAATATAAGAGTTTTGACTCTCATACGGAAAACAAAAATTACAGAATAAATTTTCGTGTACAGGACAATATAATGGCAGCATAACCTGGATAGGATGTCGTGGTGCGGTTGTAAACTGCTAAGAAACAGTAAGATAAAAATGACTGAGGACTTGAGGATAGATTTGGAACATTGAAATGACAAATGATTCTAACTACTTCGTCTAGAGTCCAGTTTTGGAGCACTGCATCTTTTCTGAAGTATTAACACAGGTTTTTCATTCTTTTTAGTAATACTTATATTTTAATTCTGAAGTGTTTCTAACATAGAGCACATAAGGTGTCCTTTGCCAGACCTTTGGGGACCGACTACATTATAAAGGTCACTGAACCAGCAGAAATCATGTGAAAGATTTATGAGAAAAGAATTAACATGACTGGAAGCAGCTCCTCAGTTTTCCCCAGATCCTCGCAAGGGTGCACATAAATTTCAGTGATCAGGGTATCCCATGTGGTGAGAACAATCAGCTACTTCTTCAGAACACAGAGTCTGGGGCTGGCAAACTACTTCTACTTTTTCTCCAACCCCTCAATCTTATTTCTTCCAAGTTCCTCTACATCCAACACTGTCTTCCACAAACGATTACAGATCAGTAAAGTAGACAACCAAGTGCACTGCTCAAAATTAGGCCTGCAGACAAGATTTCTCTTCCCACCAACTGCCTACCTAAGGTTTTAATGCCATAGACTTCCGTTTACATTTGGTGATACTATAAAGAGCCAACTAGTTGCCAAGTAGATTTTTTGTTTAGTCATCTAGTCATAGGCACTCTTCATGAGTCTATCAATGAGGGTTGAGATGACACAGCAATAAAACAGGGGCAGGTGCCTGCACAAGTAATCAGGCAATCTGCTCATGCAGCCTGTTTGTGCCTTCAGCATCTGCTTGGGTCCACCTCCTCTTTGGGACATAGGGATCCAGCTCTGATTTATCAGCTTACCTACCTACCTTCTAGGAGATGTAGACTGACAAAATAGGAAAGATGTATTTTGTGTACGATTTTAATGAGCGTTAATGAGAAAATAAAGCAGATATGAGAAATGAAAAGTTCTTATGTGTTGTAGTTTTACAATTACAGACTCACAGAGACTCACAGAGAAGGTGAAATTTGAGCAAAGTGACTGAAAAAACAAATAAGTGAAGGGAAGCCACCTATTATCCCAGCATTTTGAGAGGCTGAGGCAGGCGGATCACTTTAGGTCAGGAGTTCGAGACCAGTCTGGCCAACATGGTGACACACCATCTCTACTAACAACACAACAATTAGCTGGGTGTGGTGGTGGGTGCCTGTCATCCTAGCTGTTTGGGAGGCTGAGGCAGGAGAATTGCTTGAACCCAGGAGGCGGAGGTTGCAGTGAGCCAAGATTGCACCATTGCACTCCAGCCTGAATGATGAAGTGAGACTCCATCTTGGAAAATATATATAAATAAATAAAAGTGAAAGAAGAAGTCATGTGGATAGCTGTGGGAAGAAGGTTCCATGGAGAGAGAAAACCTGCACGAGGTAGGAACATACCTAGAATTTTAGAAGAGGCCAGTGCTCACCGGAGTATAAATGGTGAGTGGAAAATTAGTGACTTATTAAATCATTCATAATCTGGTCACCACTGCCACTGGCTCTCTGTGTTTTCAGAAAGCCAGTGGCAGCCAGATTATGAATAATTTTATAAGTCATTGTAATGACTTTCTCACTTCTCTGGGTGAATTAGGAAGCCATTAGAGAGCTTTGTTAAGGATGTGACATCACCTGACTTACATTTATGTAGAGTTATACAGGCTTCAGCATTCAGAATAGACTGAAGGGAATCTGGACAGAAGTGGGGCATCAAGTGAGGAGGCTACTGCAATAATCCAGGAGAATAATAATGGTAGCTTGGACTATGGTTGCTTAGTGTGGTAGATGGTCAGCAGTGGTTAGACCATTGAGCCAACAGGATTTTTTTGGGATGAGTTAGATGTGGTGTTTGAGATAAAGAAAATAAACTAGAAGAGACTAAGATGAACAACACTGTGAGGGGATAGACTTGGGGACTGGGAAATCACCCTGTTCGGGACATAGTATTTTGCAGCAATAATTGGACGATTGTATATAAGATATGTATGTATATAGGATAGAAATGGGGAATTCTTAGTGTGGAGAGCATATTTTAAGCTGGAGGTTGAATGAGATCATCGAGTGAATAAGTAACCCAGAGAGGAGAGATATAATCCACAGACTGAACCCTATGTAGTCCAGTGTTCAGAGGTCAGAGAAAACAAGGAAGAATAAGCATGAGAGATGGAGATGTGGCAGCCACTGAAGAAGCTAGAAACATAGGAATGTGTGCATCTTAAAAGAGGGTCAATACCTGGCAGGGGAGATATCATGATCACGAAGGTGGTTTTCCCAGGGCGAGGCTTATCCATTGCATTCCGGATGTGCTGACCCCTGCAATTTCCCCAGATGTGGGAAACTCCACTGCTTAATTTACGGTAGTGGATGACTGAGTTCGTGCTTTCCCCGGGTTATTAAAAAAAAAAAAAAGAGGGTCAAGGAAGAAATGGTGATGACTTTTTAATTTCATCCTCCACATCTCCTAATGTTTTTGTATTATCCCTCTAATTGATATTCCGTGATGAATTCTATATAATTTCTTCAAAGGCAATAGAGCAGAGTGTTTGACAGCTATGACTACAGAGGCAGTCAACTTACCACTAACAAAAAGGAAGCCAGAACATATGAAATGACACAGTAATAATAACAACAAGCAACAATTTAAAACAATAGTATCACAAGTATTGTATAACACTTAGATGTATACTGAGTAAGAACTCAAGAAACTATAGCTATTATCTATCTTCCAGGTCACTAATTTCCTTTTCACCAGTTTCTAATCAGCTAACTTGTCAATCAAGTTTGTAATTTCAATTGTCATTTTTTTATTTCTAAAATGTATACTTAGTTCTTTTTCAAATATTCTTAATTCCTTATAGTTATGTATTAGTCTCTTTTTATTTCTTTTAAGTTCAACTTCATTATGTTTTAGTAATTTTGAATAGAAATCTTCATAAAGTTTACCAGTTTGCTTTATTACTTAAAATTTTAAAGTTCTGTTAATCTTGTTTGACTGTCTCTTATAGGACATATTCTTTTGAGTGTTTTGCAAACTTAGATTGTAAGATTGGCTTTCCCAGGGCTTTGCCAGTAAGGATCCTGTGTGGCCAGAGAGATTTTGCATTTGCTTCTTCCTAGTATCCTGCACATACCATTGCCTTCTGGGCCAACACCTCTTTTAATTTCTCAGTGCAGGATTTTTCAGAACCATTTGGTTGATGAAAACTGAACCAGAAACCCAGGAGACACAGAACCATTGTTCTGACTTCTCAAGATATGTTTCCCCACTCAGGATCCAGGAGGACATACTGGCTTCCTCATTATCCCTATGTGCAATTTAGGCAGACTTCCTCTGTGTGTGCTGTTAACATGAATGCAGTCTCTGAGACTTACAGCTCTACCTGAAATTTCCAGTACTAAATCATTGCTCAGGTATAATTAAGACCTCCATGCAGCCCTGATGCCAATTCATCCTCTTACAATCTGCATTTGAGTTCTGGTGTTACTTCTTTTGCTTGGGGAGTTCCTTTTCATCCATGTGAGAGTGTTTCTTAAACTTTATCCCCCATTTCTAATAAATACAGTGTGCATTTCTGGAGATTGGTTCAGGGGATAGAGTCATTGTCTCTATTCAACCATGTTACCAAAGCCAAGAATACTTTGAATAGATTTTTGAACCTGAGACTCTATGTCAAGATTAGGTAAGAAGACTGGCCATAACTCTACCAGATGTATACATATATACATGTCACCTGATCCACTAAATTGGAGAGCTTATAGTTTATATGTACTTTGTAAGTTGTAAGCTTGCTTTCCCAGGGCTTTACCAGAAGAACATTTCATTTATATATACTTTTAGGCCAAGGTAAAAATGTCCAGGAAAGTCAAAGACATAATGCCATAATAATATTATCATTTGACTATTGAATCCTTTTTGTTTTATTCTTGCAAGAAAGCATTTCTGAACTCTAGCACATAGCTTTTCATTATGCTAAAAGACTGCAATAGATAAAACAGAAACATATTCACAAAAAAATAGCTAAAATACAGTTTAGTTTCTGGATAATAGTCCTGACTCTGACCTATATTCTTATTTTAAAGTAGTTTGTGACATACTATGACTCTGCAAAGCTATAAAGTTTCACAAATTTGATTAAACTGCAAAAAAGGAGCTGAAAATAATCTAATTAACTTTGGCCTTATCAATTATTTTTGGAACTCTATGCTTACTTATATTGAGTTCTCAATTCAAATATCAAAGATAATTTTGCACCAAAGAGAAATTGTCTTGGACTTAGCAATGAAAAGACCCATGTAATTTGCTATGTTACTTACTTATTGAGGAAAGCAAAAATGTGCTAGCCAAAAGTTGTTACAGCACCGTCACTTTGCATTTCAATATGGTTAATGTTTAACTGCAAACATACAGAAATCAGGACAAGAATATGATTTACTTTGCGTTAAATGAAATCTTTGTTTTGAGAATTCCATATTGTGTTTGATAAGATGATATCTATTTAGTTCTATTGAATAGTGGCAACTTTGATGCTACAAATATGTTCAATGTAATTCAAATTATCATGCAGGCAAATACATTTGAAAGAATATTGTTAATTCTGTATCTCACTAAATTGTTGTTACACTTATTTGTGATATGTACATTTGCTGAATTTATGGACTATAAGTAACAAAACTATTTCATCAACAAAGTGTGAAAGAACTAATTTAAAGATATGAATGTGGAAAATTTTACATTATACCACCAAATTACTTTGAGAAGAGAAATAAAAAGAAATACAATCTGACAGTCCAGGCATACTTGAATGCTGTTTATATTGTTCTGTGTGTAATATGTTTTTTTCAGTTCTGATTAAGAAAAATATATTGTTTTTATGGCTCAGTTTTCTGCCAAATCTGTAATTGCTTTGCAAGTTTATCTAAACATTCCTACATAATTTTCAAGTCATTTATATTCAATATTATTATACTACTAAAGATAGTCCCATTAATTTAGTGACTTTAACTATCATGATGGTGGCAACCCAGTGATAGCTTGGAATTAGAAATTATATTTATTCAGTTTCCAGATCATCTCACTGAGTCATGTGGCTTTACCAACAATACATAGTGTATAGAGTCATAGACCGTGTCCTCTCATGTCATATGTTTCACACATGTGTATTTTTGACCCTTACTTTCAATACTTTGCTAAGGTTCTGTTCATTTCTTTGGATAAGTCATAGGAAAACTGTAATTTAAAACAGATGAAAATGTAAAGCAAAAATATTGCTCCATTAAAAACAGATAAATAACACTCTTCAAGGATTAGGGTTTGTGTGTATGTGTGGGGTGAATATTTATACCATATATAAATATTAAGTTAATTTTCCTGTTCATATTTTGTTCTTACTAGTCTACATAACTTTTGCTTTAAAAAAAGGCTTAACTTAAAAATAAAATAGGAAAAGTATTTAACTAACTACTTTGATTTATTGGTAAGGAAATAATTCTTTGCATTTACAGGTAGTTCAACTTCTCTATTTATCAATTACTTTTCAAATGATTCTTTAAAAATGAACAACACTGATTTTTCTTTTGCATTGCTTTTCAGTATTGTCAGAAACATTTCTATAATGAAGAGAAAATTATTTCAGTAAAATTGTTATCTTTATTACATTTCATGTACAGTTCACTTTAATAAATATGTAACTATTAGTTTCAAAGACTTTTAGTGCAACAATAATTCTGTTTTTCTCATTATAGCTGCTATATAACTGCATCATTGTAGCTCATGCTTTTTGCTTCACCATTATTCCTCTTTAAAAAATATTATTTTTCTTTCAGATAAACTCTAACAATTGCTGCAAAAAATTCTAACCCAAGGAAACAGTCATTGATGGGTGGAGATAGTATTTCATCTCCATTGTAAATGTCATATGCTATAGTATCTAAGGTCAGGCATTCTATGGACACTGAAATAACAGTTATATTTGCTTTAATCTGCTCATACCAAATTCAACAATGTATAAAATGAGACTTTTTTGTAAAATAGAAACTTTGAATGAATAAGTAGTTTGATTGATGGAAAATTGTGAAATTAATTTATGCTATACTATTTACGAGAGTCTTCAGAACTCTAGAATGCATTCGTTCAATCTGACGCTATTAGTTTGAAGACTCTGGCTCCAGACCAGAATCCTCTGTGTGATCCAGAGGTAGTCACATTACTTTACCGGTAGGCTTCTGGGGAAAACTGCCTTGCCCACACCAGACTTGGTGCATAGCCCATCATTACTGATTTCTGTAGAGAGTTGCAGTCAAGAATTCAAGGTATCCTGGACTGAGCATTCCCATGAGTATCCCTAGCCCAGGCACCTCCATTTGGAAGCCTCTTTATTAGCACTCAGCTGAGACACTCTTTAGGAACCTCTGCCAAGATCTTCTTAGTGGAGGATTCCAACAAAGCCACTTTGCTCTGCTCTGACTCAGTACTTTTTACACTTAGTTCTCTCCCTTTCTTGCTCTGGAAACTCTTGGGTTTATGGAAAGTCAGGAGCCTCTTGTGTGTGGCTCCTAGGCAGTTAGACAGTTTCCTTTGCCTGCCTGCCTGTCATTAGACCTTTACCTGAATATGAAAAAAAAAAAAAAAAAAAAAAAATGGAACCCTGGGGAGCTGATGCCTCACTCTTACTACACTAAGTCAATAAAGTCTTGCTTGTTACTTTCAGTTTGGCTTGTTGTCCTTCATGACTACCTTGACACCCAAGGCCTTGTCATGGTTCAAAAATCTACACTTCTCATGTGATAGTTTCCCTTGAACAACTTTTTAGTTTTTGCAAAGCCAATGACCAAGTGTCAATAGACATTTTTGTATATGGGGAATTTTCTAATGGAGAAAATGTCCTTTTACTTCAAAGAATACAGAAATTCCGGCCATGTATACCCATATTTATAGACAAAGCAAACAACAAGTATAATGTCAATTGGTCTATCTAAAAATGATAACATATAAAATAAAGTTATGGAAACCACCTTCATGATGTCATGTGATGCTGTTAATGCAGTACTTCCTGTTTTCAAAATTATTGGGAGTTTTAGTTCCATTATTGTATTTAAAAATATGTGGCTTTGTATAAAATAGGTGGCCTCATGTAGTAAGAATATCATATTCACACCATAACAATTAATAAAATGTAAATGTTGAGTCTTCCTTCTTGACATTTTGGGTATCACATTAATCGCTAATGAGAAATAAGTTATTATTAAGTTACATTTTTAAAGAGACAAATATTACATGCAGGAAAACAAAGTTTCACTGTCTCACAGATGCCTACTTAAGGAGTGGAGCGCTTAAATCAAGTGAGGCATGGAAATGGGTTATATGGCTTTTACATGCAGAGTACATTATTT